TCTTATATATATATAAAATAAATTTATTGATATCAACTAAATTAACTACTTTAAATTATGTAATTCAGTCTTATATATAAAAATAAAGGTAGTACTACATCATATATCAAATATAAACTTCATCTAAAAAAATTTAATTTTTTTAATGACTCTATACTTAAAAGAATGGGTGAGTATAGTATATAGCAATATACAAATATATAAATACCAACCAATGTATGGATGAAAATTAAAGTATGAGTATTTTTTAAAACGTGAGTGCAAGCTCTAGTACTATCTTTTTCATCCCATTTTTTTTTTTAAATCCGTAATGATAAGTTTAGGGAAGGTGATTTAGTAAGAAATAAAGAAGAAATTGAGGGATTATCAAGAAATTAAAAAGAAAATGTGTATTTGGAGAAAATAATTTAAGTGAATTTGTGGATGAATTGACCATTGTGAACTTATTTTAAAAACTAAATACTTAAATAGGATTGATTTTAAATTATTTATATCAATTATGCTAGACCATAAGACTTGTATGACAGGTGACTATTTTGTTTTTTAAATAGTGGCTCTGAGTTAACCATGTTGAAGTCATTATAACAACTTTAACAATATCACTACTAGTTATAGCAACATGTCAACAACTCATTTAAAAAAAAATAAAAAAATTATATACTAAATTAGCAAAAGAAAATTTAAATAGTGATCCCAATTAATTTTTTTAAAGGGGTCATCATTTAAAATATTTTTATAATTTATAAAAAAAATAGTCTTTCATTTGTAAAATATATATGTGTAAAAAAAATTTTAAAAAAAATAGGGCCACTCGTATAATTAAATAAAAAAATTGTAAAAAAAAACTTTTAAAAGTTCTGCAATGCTTTGACCATAAAAAGAAAAGTGGTTTTTCTAGAAAAAAAAAAGTACTTGCAGAAAAAAAATCTGAACTCCTTTGTAAAAAATAATAATAAAAAAATGATTTTTAAAAAAAATAAAATCCTTTAATATTTAAAAAAAAAAAAGGTTACTATGGTGCAAAAATAACTTAAAATATTATAGCGACTCAAGTTAGATAAACAAAAATCAAGCGATTTTTTTAATTTTTATTTTTATTTATTTAATAGTTTGTTAATATTATGTTTATTTAAATAAAAAATGTTAACCTACATTCATAAAAATATATATATATATATATATATATATATATATATAAGAAAAATCAATTTTATTTTTTACTTGATTTTTTAAAAAAAAAAAGTCTATTAACCTTAAAAATGTATAAATATTTTTTAAAAATGTTAATATGTTAAAAATAAAAAGTTAAACTTTTTTAAAATTAAAAAAAATTAAATAGGTCATAGTGACCCATTTAAAAAAATTATCTAACGTATAACAATTTAAAAAAAATTATTTATTTGAGTCACTACAACATGTAATATCCCCAGAAAAAATAAAATAAGTTACTTTATGTTGTTACAGTAGGTAATAACTTAAATTGGGTCATTACTAATTGTAATAACCTTTGTTTTATGATTTTTATGACTTGTAAAAAAAAATAACATTATATGAGTCATTATAGACCATAACAACTCTATAGTAAATAATTTTAAAAATATAAATAATTTCAAAATAATCTCATCTAAGTATTTAATTTTCAAAATAAGCTCACTATGGTCAATCAGTCAGATTTGTAAAAAAATTATGGTGAGATTTACGTGAATTTAGTCTCACTCTCTTATGAGTAAATTTGTATAAAATTTTTCATTAAAAAAAATGTTTGAACAAAATTAATTCTATACTTTGTTTAAATAGTTAATATAACTATTTAAATAATATATTTTACATAAAAATCTAATTATATAAAATAGAATTTTAAAACACAAATTTCTTTCTATTTTTCATCTAATTCTACTTTACTAAACAACTGTAAATTCTACATTATATTTTACTTATCTTCTATTAATAGAATTTTCAACTATTTTCTTTCATTTCCTTTGGATTCTTTCCCTCCCCGAACAAAGCATAATAAATAAGATAAAAGGACTGAAATTTGTTAAATAAAAGGCAGGCCTCGAATTGGAATGAATGCGCACAAAGTCAGTGATGTCACCTAACTGCGCGAGTAACGAGAATTGAAAGATCACCATCTATGACTATTCGCTTCTGTTGGTTCATGTGTTGTAATAACTATATGTAATCCTGTGAACTTACCAAACTAAGCTAGCAGACATGTCTCTTTCAACTGAGGGCAAATAAGGGAGCAATCATTACTTGCTTCTCACATGATTTTAGTACTTGTTTTTGCAGCCTGGAAAGTTGAATCCACCTTTATGTGATCTCTCTTGCTCACAACTTTTTAAAGAGAATTTATCAATCAAGATCTGAATTATGTTGTTAGGAAAAAACATAAATATCCTCAATGATATATTGAAATTGTCAACAAAGATTCATCCAAAATATTATTTCATAGATCTAAATAGCAAGCAATTTTACCACGTACTAAGAGGCATTGTATATAGCAGAAGAGGCTAGATTTTAATAACGTAACAAAACAAAATTCGAAATCTTGTTAGGAAAAGTGGACACATTTAGTATCTATTATGTCTTGAACAGAATTGCTTTTAAGAAAATATCATGAAAATACTATAAAAAAAATAGCTTTTGAATCTTTACTCACTTTTGACATGAAAATCGAGATAAGAAACGGTTGCAACAATGTTAAAGAGTTTTAAAAGAAATATCACTATCATTACATCAACACTTAGCTTCTTCAGTCATACCCATGATCTAATATACGATAAGATCACTCTATCTTCAATTCGTCCGCATAAACATCACATAGATAGAGACATGCTCAAGAAATGTAGGAGTTCCTGAGCCAAAATGGTATTGTTTTTTCCTTATAAGTTGATAGAAATAAAGAAGGAAACTATTTAGCCGGTGTCATTTTCTTTATAGGATTGACAGATGGAGGTTCTTAATTCAAATTTCTGTGAAAGAGTTTTCAATATTTGTCCAAACACTAACAATTACAATTATTCAACTAATCTATACATATTAAAAGAATTGGTCAGCAGGGGAAATTTTAATATCTTGGGGAAAAAAAATCAACTACACATGGAACAGATCCATAAAAAATTATAATAAACTCCGAATTCTTGACTTTGTGTCAAATAGCGTTCACATATTGTTGCTGAGTATAAAAATTTAAAGGTCGTTCCAACTTTTTTGGTCGCTGTAGCGATGTGGCAGCAATTTCGTACTTTCCTCTCCTATGATCTAACTCTTTTATTTATCTCCTTTCTTCAAGTTGAAGGTGAATGAATTGAGAGCACCGGGCATAGACAAGCAACTTTGGTTGTATCGATACAGAGATTAAGGTTTTTTTTATTATTTCATCTGTGTCATACAGTTGGCACGCATGGAAACTGAAATTTTAGGGAAGTGTACATTTTCAGCTAGGATACAACTATTATATAGTATAAATTAAGAACTGTCCACGGAATTTGAAGATTCCCCACATATAGCTGTCACCATATATTCGTATTTTATACCAATTTGGGATTTGTTATGAAAATGACAACGCTGCAAAGGAAATAGAGCTCGTTCATTCACTAGCAGGGGTGTTCCACAGATAATTGATTAAAGACCAAGGACAAGCCCAAGAGAGTAGAGGCAAGGGATGCGATTAAGGTAGGTCCTAATTTGTTAACAGAACAGACAACAAGACTGCAGTTTAGGGCAATCCACACACCATATGCACATGGTCAATAACAAATGCACATGGGACTCAGACAATTATGTCACGTCCACCAAAAAGACATTGAGGAAATTCCCACAGTATCCCATCCTCGCAATAATCTAATCAAATATACTATTCAGGCAAGGCCAGGGATACATTTACTTATGAATTCAGGTTAAGAACAGGTTTGATGTAGACATCTATGAAAAGTAAATCATGACATAAAGAAGTCTCCGAGAAAGTAACGTCCATGATAGCCAATAGGAAATTTATAAGGATTAAAGGATCTGTCGCACATGTTTCGGCCAGTCATGTAAAAGTACAAAGGGCACACTATATCAAATGATGATCGGAGTCCTGAGATTTCTATGAACGTGTAAACCGCCCGTGTGAAGTCAATTATGATATGTGGGAAGAAGGTACACATATGATTCAAATTGGTGTTGCTACGTAAAGCATTATTAATGTGCAAAAAGAAGTTGCAGCTACTGCCGACAGGTCATTACAGAATCAATCCCATGACCGATAACAAGATGTTATCTTCAACCATTTTATGTTTGGATTAATGAGTGTAAAAGAATGAAATAGAATAACATTACCCCCGCCCTATTATTACTCAAAGGGCAAAACTATATAAAATACAATATAAGTGTTACAAATGTTACTCTCTAATCAAACTTGAAATTATATCTCCATAATTCGCATAATAAAAAATTTGATTAAATATCAATACATATTACCAAAAGTAAAATTCTAATTTCAATTAAAAAACAGTACTAAGAATACTTATTATTCTGTATCAAAGTTTCATCCTCAATTCGTTGTTGAATAGGGCAAACTGAAACTCTACTTATTTTTCCATTTTTTTCAACCGCAATTAAGGCATTTCTCTCTGCAGTAGAAATCTATGATGTTTTGACAAAGTTTAAAACTCTGAACCGATCATAGAACAAGTCCTCAGTTTGAGACTTGGACATATTTAAAATTACCCGCCCCTCTCTAAAACTTAATTTGCAAGAATTGAATCAAATCCTCCTTCACAAACTGGACGTAATTAATATCTGTATTTTTCTTTTATCTAATGTAGTAATATTCATTGAGTCCATAAATCAATTTATAGTTTCACTTCTCAAACAAGGAAATAAATGGAAACTTCCATCTTTTTCATCATAAAATATCCATATAATAATTAATACTTGAAAAACCACATTTCAATCTGAACATACTCAACCTCGTTCATTATTTTTTCATTCCAACCACAGTGAGTAATGAGTATATGCAGAGTATTTTAGCGATCAACTATGCACTATCCCTATATGGCTATTGACTAGATACAACCCAACTGAGCTATGTACTCTACCCCTGGCACAGCATCGCAAATTGCTCATTCCTAAACATAAACACAAGTTCTCATATCATTAGAAAAACTTACCTCTACAAACAAACATCAATTATTAATCAATAATTACAAAGGAAAAAGAAGAAGAAAAAAGAAAAACTAAACACGCCTATGATTATGCATATAGAATTACATATGAATGAATAATCAATCAACAGTACCTCATCGTGGATCTCTAGGGTCTAGCAAAAACACCCCAAATCTTGCCACGGCCGAGGCTCTCGGCGAGTTTCTTGGCCCCGGGAACATCCATCTCCACAAGCTTCTGCGTATATACAGAGGCCCCCGCAGCCACCATCTGCTTCCGGCAACTCTTGGAGTGCACAAGAGAAGCGAGCAACGAAACAGGGTACTTCTTATCCAACCCCTGCAACGAAGGGTTCAAGAGATGAACTGCGCTCACAACTCCTCTTTCGTCCTTCCGAAACACCTTCCGATTCGCCGGGTGCATCAGCAGCACCGACAATGCCATCGCGGAACCTTCTTTCTCCTCCACGCCCTTCCCATCCAACATCTTGATCAAACCCGAAACGCATCCCAATTCCCCCATCTCCTTCCGCGCTTTGTTACTGTTCATCCCCAACGCGTGAACCGCCCTCGCCGCCGAAACCCTAACCGCCAGCACCTCGCAACTCAACACCGCCACCACCCTCTGCACAAACCCTTCCGTCACAAGAACCTCGCCAATGGCTCCGCTACAAGCCGCCAAATGCCGCACCATATCCACCGCAACTTCCAGACTCGCAAGAGGAACACCGGAGTCCCAGTAATTCTTCAAGCACTCCACACCACCTTCCTTCACTACCGAAACCCTCAAATTCGACAAACCCTCGGAGTCCTCTGAAATCAAATTGGACAAACAACCAACCGCGTTCTCACGCGCAGAAGCGGTTCCGGAGGAGGCTAAAGCGAGCAAAACCACCACCGCGTTCTCCTCGGCGAAATTGTCTCTGATTTCGGAAAAGGCGGCGAGGTTCTTTAGCACGGCGGCGGCGGAGGCCTGCGCGCCGGGGGTGCCAGCCTGGCAAATCTCGAGGAGCGAGGAGATTCCTCCGCGGGAGCCGATGGCTCTGGCGTTGTCCTTGGTTAAGCTGAGCGCCTGAAGCGCGATGCAGGCCTTTTCAATGGCGAAGGCGCTTCCGGAGTCGAGGACGCGGAGGAGGTGGTTGAGGAGGAGGAGGCCTTCCGCGAGGAGAACGTTTTTGGCGGTTTCGACGGTAGAGACTCTGGAAATGGCGGCAACGGTTTTTTCCTTCATTTCGGAGGGGGAATCGAGTAGGCGCACGAGCACGGGAACGACGCCCTGGGCCACGGCTATGGTGACGTTTTTGTCGTCTTCGTGGAGGAGGCCCAATAAGGAGTCCATTGCGGTGGATTTGGATTCGGGCGACCCGATTTGGAGTCGGGTTATTAGGTTTCTTGAAGCGGAGCGCGTGGCCTCGCGTTTGGAGGGGGTGGAGAGGTTATTGTTGTTTTCGAGGAGGAGGCCGCTGCGGAAGAGGATGTCGCAGTCGGTGACGTGGCGGTGGAGGGTGGCGAGGAGTGAGTCGAGGTCGCTTTGGGTTTTGAGCTTCCCGTTGGGGAGTTGGTGGGGTTGGCACGTGCGAGCGAGGGAGAGGGCGTGGTGGAGCGTGCGGGAGATGGAATCGAGGAGGTGGAGGGAGAGGGGGTTGGAGGTGGAGGCGTTGGGGAACTCGGCGGAGAAATCGGTGAGGTGGGTCTGGAGGAGGGTGAGTTTGACTCGGGCGAGTGACCATTTCCCTTTGAAGTTGGTGACGGTGGGGATTTCCGAGTCGAGTAGGGTGCACAGGAGGTGCAGGGAATCGCGGATAGGGTCTGGTTCGGCGGATGATTCCTTCATCTTTGATTTAGTTTAGTTTTTAGTTTGTGAAGAGAGTTTGGGAGTTAAGTTAAGAGGGTTTTTTGTGGAGCGTGGACTACACTGACATGGTGGGAGTGTCAAGTGTGTGTGATTCCCGCCACTCACCAGTGTTGGTTTTGGTTTATATATATGCTTCTGACTTCTGAGGCCGCGCTTTTATGTTGTACAGCTCCTTGCATTTACGCTCAACTTCCATGCTCTACGTTCGTTACTAGACGATGATCCTCCACGTCCTATGCTAATTAATTGCTTTTATTTTTCCTTAACGTCACCAAACCTTGGTTTTCTTTTAATATCTACAACACAACCTCACTTTATTGTTAGATAATCTTATATTTTAGGGATATCTGACTTAGTTTATCTGTTTTCTCTTTTGAGTTGTTTGTTTCATTTTAGATAAGATAGTTTTTGATAAGATCTGTTTTGATAAGATATTTTGTTATCGTCTTGTTAATTCAGTACGTTGTACAATGACTATTTAAAAGCCATATCTTATTCAATGAGAAAAACAGTGAGTTGCTACGTCCACACAATATTAATATTACTTGTCTCTCTTATTTTCTACAAATTGGTATCAAAGCTTTATACTCTGAGTGCCGAGTGTGAGAGGAAAAACAGTGTGCGCCTGTGTGTATTTTGAAAAAAAGAAAGAGAGAGTAATGGCAAAGGTTGTTAATGGAATGACCGTACCACAACTGTCAAAGAAAACCAATTATGATAATTGGTGTTTACAGATGAAGACCCTGTTGGGTTCCCAAAGTCTATGAGACATAGTGGAGAAGGGGTTCCAAGAACCCGAGGAGGACGAAGAACAATTTGTGGCTCAGATTGCCACATTGGAAAAGACACGAATAAAGGACAAATCGGCTTTGTATTTTTTGTACAATGTCGTGGATGAATCAGGATTCGAGAAGATTGCAAACGCTGCGTCTTCAAAGGAAGCATGGGAGATCTTGGAGGTTGCGCACAGAGGTAACCACCGTGTCAGACAGATCCGACTTCAAACTCTCCGAGGTCGAGGAGAGTTTGAGTGTTTGAAGATGGAGGATAAGGAACGAGTATCCGAGTACATAACTCGGGTGGAGAAGTTGGCTAACCAACTCGGAAGGAATGGGGAGCCAATGCCAGCAAGTAGAATTGTGGAGAAAACCTTGAGATCATTAACGGATGATTTCGAGAGTATTGCATGCGTAATTGAGGAGTCAAAGGACTTGTCAATTCTCTCAATGGAAGAGCTCGCTGAGTCACTCGAAGCCCACGAACAAAGGAGGAGGAAGATGAAGGATACTCTTGATCAAGCACTACAGGGGCAACTTGATTTGAATGGAACTTGGAACACCCAGGGCCGAAGATCAAGAGGACAAAGACGAGGTGATCATGGAGGTGATCAAGGACGAGGTGATCGCAGAGGATGAGGTGATCATGGAGGTGATCAAGGACGAGGTGATCGCAAAGGACGAGGTGATCATGGAGGTGGACAAGGACGAGGTGATCGTAGCCAAGGAAGTCAGCCAAGGTCGGAGGTGGAATGTTATAAGTGTGGCAAACACGGCCACTACGCAAAGGAATGCAGATCGGCAAATTGCTACAACTGTGGCAAATACGGTCACATAGCAAAGTATTGCCGAGCTAAAAGCCGAAATGAAAAGAAAGAGAAGAATCTTCTCACAGAAGAAGAGGACGAGGAAGCAGGAATTTTGATGATGACGTAGAGCTCGGAGACCAAGCTACGTCCGAGTTATGCCTCCGAGGTTGAGCTAAACTTGAGTTGCGTGGAGAGATCAGTAGTTGAGCTTCCAAACTCAAATGAGAAGTCAGAAACCGAGCTTGATTCGAGTTGCTTAAACAACTCGTCCCTTCAGTGCAAATAAGTAGGACAAATTGTTTTCAAAAAATAATGTACCATTTATCTATTTATCCCATGTTGTATTATTATTTCAAGGGACGACAAGGAGGTAGAGACGACAAGGTCTTTCAAAGACAAGGGAGGAATGGGGTTTTAGGCAAACTTTTTTGAACTATCATACCAAGAAAGAAACACTAGTCGTGAGAGATTATATCTATTGTCAAAACATAGGCAGATAATTCTTAAGAAATAATACATTGAGGTTTGATTACTCTATAAAGACAAATGGACTATGACTTACATTAATTTCGTATCAAACAATTTAAGCATGTCCACAAATAAGAAACAAAGATTTTGGAAGAGTTTTATCAACTTTGATGGTGGCACCAAAATTTAAGAAGGTCTGGAGGTTGTTTTGATCTAAAACATTCAGTAAGTATAAAACTGATATTTATTTGAGATTTCGAAGTCTTTATATATAAATTGAAATGATCTTATAGGCATGAATCACTTATTTTTTATCATAATCTCGTAAATCCCATTATATCTTTATTAACATTAATAACCTTATAAAAAAATGGCATTATGAACATTATCATGTGTATCTCCTAAATCACGATACCTTGCCTCTAACTAATTACAACAAGAGCGATTCGAATGTCAATCAAATTTTATCATGTGATGCATTTAATGAGTTGATCAATTATCAATTGAAAAATTTATTTAGTTTATTTAATTAACAAAAGGTCAGTATTGTACACAATTCTTCAAACTCATGTGAAAAGTACAAAGAATTTAAGTAATTAAACTATTTGATTGTTGAAAGATTATTATGGTATACACTTCAACTTCATTCTTCATCCAAATAAAATGTGAAATTGAAGGAACTCATGGAAATAATAGAACTATGTCATGATTGTCATTAGATTTGTAAGAATAAATATATTTTAATTATATTGGAATAAATATTTAAAATGTGAAAAAATACTATAGTTGAATTAAATAATTAAATAGGCGAGGCGAAGTGTGAGAGGGAAAGATAGCGAGTGAAAGTTGTCAAGTCAAGTCTTTGACCATCTCTTCCTTTCCAAATCCCGTGCCATGGTTATGGTTTCTTTATTCCTCCTACTCCTGACTTTCTTGCGTTCACTTTTTCATTTCACACACCGCAAATTCAACACAAAGCGCGTGCTGGGTACTTCACCTTTTCAGAGCAGAAGCTTAATGTGTTATTATTATTATTATTATTATTATTTTATAAAGTTTAATGGGCATCTCCTAATTTTATCATGTTTATTTTTAGGGTTTATTGCTTCAGTTTTTTTAAGAATTTGATTTTTATTTTTATTTTTAACTTTTTTAATTTTATCAATTCTTAGTGATTTTTTTTTTTCTTCTATAAGTTAGTCATTGAGAGTATGTCTCATTTTTTTAAATGATGATGTATGTCAATAAATTATGGTATACTGATTATTAATGTTTAAGTAGCTACTTAATAAATATCAAATTACATAACATATGTATTTTTACTATTCATTTATGGTTATAGGAGTGAAGAGTTGTTTTAATAACATATTTTATTTTTTAAAAAATGTTTAATCCTAAATAAATAGAAAAATTATAATAAAATTATACGTATTATATGATTTGGTATTTATTGAGTAAATATGTAAACATCATAGTCAATTTAGTCATGATTTATTAATATATGTCATTACTTAACAAATGACACTTAGTTTCAGTGACTAATTTACAGGACAAAAAATTAATTAAAAAATTAAAAATTGATAATAAAAAAAGGATTAATAAAAACTAAAAATCAAATTTAAAAAAGTTGAGGAACTAAAAACTTATTTAACTCTTATTTTTGAAATCATAAGTAAAGTCATTATACCTTGTTTAATATTAGCTTTTTTATTCTTTAATATAATTATAAAGAGTACACGTTAACAGAAATATTTATTTAATATTATCATTTTATTTATTTAAATATATGTGTGGCACTTATATTTTTTTGTTTATTAAAAGTTATTTTTATTGATGATTAATATTATTAATTTTGTCGTTATAAGAATAAATTTAATACTCAAAAAAGTAATTTGTGAGCTTGAAACTTTTCTTATTTGGAATTTGGAAAGCAAAGGGGCCCAATACTATTTTTTTTTTTAATATTAGTTCAAATGTATTATACACGAAGTACTCATGTAGCATTTTTTCTATTTATTCAAATTAGTTTCGTTTATGGGATAAAAGTAAGGGTAAAATCTCTCTCTAAAATTATTTAAGTTTGATTTTAGTTTCTTAAAAATATTTTGTTTTACTTTAATCTCTATGATTATGAAAGGTATCACTTTTAATTATCAAAATAGTTTAGACAAATGTATTTGTATCCATTTTTAGCGCTATTTAAACCGGACTAAAAGTGATAAATATTTAAATTAGAGAAATCAAAACAATACAATTTTTTTAGGGACTACAATTGAATTTCAAAATTTTTAAAGAGGTTAAAAATATATTTTATCCTTAATACATTTTAAAATTAGTATAACCCTAACTGTTAATTTTAATTGAAAAATTATAACTATTTTATTTTCTAACAAAGTTCACTCTCTCCACTGTAAAAAAAAAAAAAAAAAATTAAATTAAATTAAAATAAAAAATATATTATACCAATTATTGTCTTCAGAGCTACCAAAACGGCCTGCTTCATAGATTTGGGCTGGCTTATGATACTGAGGAGAGTCCGAATTCAATCAAGCTGGGCCATTTTCTTTTTAGAACGCAACTCAGTTTAAGCAAATAATCAAATATTTTCCTGACACAAAACACAATTTCACTGTTGCTTTGCACAACAAAACACGAATTTGTTATTGTTAATGAATATTATTAATGTTAAAAAATATTATATTATATTTATATTATTTAATTTTATATATTATTTAATAATAATAATTATTATTCTAATAATATCGATTTGATCACTATTTTTTTTATATTATAAAATTTAGGTGAATTGAGTTTCAAGAATTCATTCGAGTCAAATTTTATGAACTTAAAAAAGTACTTATAAATTATCTATCAATAAAGTCTCTAAATCAAGAGAAATAGAACCCACATTTTTTTAAAATAAGTTTATTCTTTACCAATTTAACTATTTTATTTTTTCATTAGACCACTATTAAACCTTGAAGGATTGGAGTAGGATGTATTTGAATTATCGTTTTGTTAAACGTGACCCACTTTTTTTTCAATCCATCAATATTATTATTTTTCCACTTTGTACTTTAAAATGTACAAATAAATATTTAATGATTTTC